CTCCCCCGCCCCCAAATCTGGCTTAGCGGCCACACTGAAACAATCCATCAGGCCGCAGCACTGTAAGCCATTCCGGAAAAAGAACTACCAATGAAGGGGAAGAGGCCCCCGCCCAAAGCAGCCAGCCCTGCAGTGCACTAAGCTGTTCGCGTACAGCTGTGAATGTAGATTGGAATCCTGGCAGAAGGGTGAACTGGATTTGGTGGAAATCATTGGTGGGCTTATAGGAAAGGAAGCCACATCAACTGTGCCCTTCATCAATTTAAGACTTGGACACCTGGGATGGCGCTGAAGCCTTGGCTTGCTTTAACAATGGCCTGGTAGCCAACGCCTGGCTTCCCTGTTTGCCTGGTATAGAATGGGACACTGCCTGGGTCAACTCACTGCAACCCAACACTCGCCCGGAAACGCTGACTTGCCAGCTAGCCAGTTAGCATGGCAGCTGCCTATCGCCGCAGTAGTTGGGCCTTGTCACAGTTCAGCAGAGGTTTAACCTTGCTCATGTGGAGGATGACTGAATACTGGGGCTTGATGACCTATCCGCAGCTGGAGATGTCATCTATACTGCTTCACGGTCCATCGTGTTAAGCTTGCAGTCAGATCAGCGGCCTGCCCAGCTCACGCAGCAAAGTCAACAGGGTCAGCGATCAACATGCTCTTCCAGCTGCCCGCTCATTGCACGCCCCAACATCTCCCGTCACCATCTCTCCAAACATGGAGCATGCCTTAAGGATGAAGTTCTGCCAAATGTTTGCTGTGCGAGACGGAGACTGCACTCACGCTAACCTGGTCCAGCATGACACTGGCACAGCTACGGCAATTCAGTGATGGGAATGATGCTTTCCACTGGCCACTACGAAGGAAGCAGAAGCTTAGGTTGCCAATATGCCTGCTGCAAGTACAATCGCCCTCGATCACCTCCGGTGCTCTGAAATATGACAGCAGAACATCCAAGCTGGACAGCAAGCATGCTCCATCTTCCAGCCCATCTCTGGTGACATGCATGGGGGCGTGGCCTGAGACCAGACACCATACTGTACTCCTACACAGGGATTGCTTGGCTCTATACCAAGGGCAGTCTAACCTGGTCTCTAGCCCACACTACATTCCTTTCTCCACATGTAAACACTCAAGCCCTGAGACCAAGCTCTACTAGCATGATTATGAGTAAGGGCAGTGAGGACTGTGACTTCACTGCTAGGAAACAGCGTGTAATAGGGATGAGGGGAAGGTGTATCATCACAATGAAGCCTGATTTACAGTTCTGCGTAGAATCTATGCTGTTGGTCCAGCATAGCATTTCTAGGTAGGTTTGTGTCAGGCTACAGCATACGGTACACAGCTACATCGTACGTCCGTCATACCAATGACATAGATTCAATGAAGAAATATAAATCAGACTCAAGTTCTATTTGTTAATTGTAATAAAGATCATTTTATTAAACTGCTTCTGAGTCCGTTTGAGGCTGCATCAACTCTGCTTCCATTCTTTGAACTGTAGGTACTAATGAACCCAGAAGTTAAGTAGACAACCTGCTTCACACCTTCAAAGCAAAAAAATGTTAATAAAAATAATTAAAAAGCTGGAAGTTTAAAGATGTCAACGCTGCCCACTGCACCCCAATGCCCGGCCAATAACAGAATAAGAGTGACACTAATTTGACACAGAACAAACAAATAAAAAATAACATACGGAGCAGTATGATGAAAGACGCCTGAAAGACACAATTTCATCATGAAATCCACAGCATGAAGATGGAAGAGCAAGAAATAATTGAGGAAAACACTTTAAACTGGAAATTGTAATGCTTCAGTGACAGAATAAAAGCTAAGTATTCTTTTGTGGTGCAATCAATGTCCTGACAGGGAACTCAGTGGAGGTTGTGAAATATCTTCCACATCTACAAGCAACTTGAGAGCTTGACCGAGTCTCATTTTCTCAGCTTCAGTAGATGTCAGCAAGAACAAACATTAGTACTTTTGTGCTGCCACTATATTAATCATTTGCAGTCTTTATTTAAATGTTTATTCTTGCATAATAACTTCTTTTTGGTAGCGCTTCGTAGGGTGGCGGCCGAGAACTGCCTTACGTTCTTCACCGTATACTGATGAACCTCTAATGATAGCCAGCTGGTCTTTGTTTAGAGATTTAATTCACACAGAATTTGGCAGCTGCGTTAAAGCACGGAAGAGAAAGAACTGGTAACAATGGGAACCGTGTGCCAGTGACACATATTTACAGTGTTGAGTTTCAGCTTCTTTGGTTCAGCTTTGACTTTGCTTTTCTGGAAAAGGCCTCGTACGGGGCCTTGGAAATGTACACGGTTCCCACAACTATTTTTCCATTTTATTCTATCACCTTCTAAACTTAGGCTATATTAAGGACTTTTCCAGTTGATCCAAAACACAGCGTAAATCATGCAAAATCTAAAGAAAGGAATCCTTTCAACAATTCACCAAAGAGTAAAAATTTTATGAGATACCCTTTGTAAATATGAGGCTAACTCTGCTCAAATGTGTAAATGGTCTCACCAGTGCAGAGAATGGGTGGATTACCGGTTCTCAATGAATGAATGAGGATTTTCCACAAAACAAACCAAAATAAAGATGAAAGTACATTCAAATAAATTGTGCGCATGTATTATAATTGAAAGATTGCTTATTTGAATCCCTGACCAGCAAGGCACCACTGACGTACCCTGAGAAAGGTACTGACCACCAAGCAGTGCTCCCTGGGTGCTGAATTAGCTGCTCCCTGCTATGTCACATATGGGTTAAATGTAGAGGACACATTTCATTGCTGTGTACTGTGGTATGTCAACAATGACCACTAAAATCAGAGCTCACTGCAGTCCATCCAATGGAAGCAGAAAAAATATGAGTGACACTTACTAGGTCTGGCTTCCCCACTAAAGTCTCCAAACAAAAAAGGCAGAGAAGCTACTGTAATGCCAACTGGAGTCAGTGACTGTGATCGGAGATGTTCACAGTTTAACAATCTCCAAGGCATCACACAAAAACAATCATTTTTGAAAGAGTGGCAAGGAAGAAGCCCTAAGTGAAAAAAATGTCCTTGACCATAAAGAATTTGCCAAACTACTTGGAAGATACTATAAAGATGTGGAAGAATGTGACCTGATTAGAGTCAAGTGGAACTTTGTTGTTTTTAACACTAAGCAGAATGTGTGACACAAATCTAACACTGCACATCAGCCAGGTAACACTATGCCCACTGTAAAATGTGGTGGTGGCTGCATCATGTTGCGGAGATGCTTTGTAGCAGCCTGGCACGCTGGTCAGGATGGAGTAGATGATGAACGGTGCACAATACAGGCAGATCCTGGAGGAAAAGTTGCTCACCTCTGCCAGAAAGCTTAAATTGTGGAGGAAGTTTGTCTTTTAACAGGACAATGACCAAAAGCACACTGCCAGCGCGATAACAGAGTGGCTTAAAATGAAGAAAATTGATGTCCATGAGAGGCCCAGTCAAAGATCTTAACGCCAGCGAACATCTGTGATTCGTTCATTCACATGAACCTTTATTTAACTCACAAAAGTACAAAGAAAAAATTCTCACTGGCCAATTTGCTTGTTTTTTGTAAATACATGCAGTTAGAATCTGATGGCTGCAACACACTCAACAAAAGTTGGGACAGAGGCATATTTACCATTGTGTTACATCACCTTTCCTTTTAATAACCCTTTTTAATCGTTTTGGAACTCAGGATACTAACTACAAGCTGAAATGTGGACTCAGCATACAGTTCCACAGTCTTTCGGTCCATCTGAGATGAGCTTGGGTCCAGAGAACTTTGGGTTTCCAAAGTACTCCTGAACCCAGGGGCTGCATTTGTCACAGTCAATGACCTTTACTGTGGACCTTGCCCTTTACGCACAGAGATGTCTCTGCATTCTCTGAATCTTTTCACAGTATTTTGTACTGTAGATGTTGCAATACCTATAATTCCTCTACAGTTTTGCATTAAGGAATGTTCCTGTTGAACTGACTAAATTCTCTCATGCGTTATGGCACAAATGGGTGAGTCACGATCCATCCTTGCTTGCAATGACTATGCCTTTTATGGATGTTACTGGAATATTCTGTGCACTTTTCAATCTTATCTTAACAAATTTTAAGTGTGTTGCAAGCTTCAAATTCAAACTTTGCATATATTTACAAAACATTGTAAAAAAAAGTTGGTCAGTACTGTTGAAAATCTCGGTACTTTTGTCAGTGAAATAAAGGTTCATGTGAATTAACATATCACAGACTGTTTTAATTACATTTTAGAAAATATCCCAACTTTTCTGGAAATGGGGTTTGTATGTACGTCACAAATAAAGGGATCTTGAAATAACTGGCTGTAATAGCTGTCAGAAGTGGATCAATCAATTGGACACTGAATACTTAAAACAACAGTTTATTTCTTTTTTTTTGGGGGGGGGGTATCTGAGCGAAAAAGAGTGATTGATTTAGGAGTAGAAATTTCCAATTTGATCAAAATCCTTGATAATCATATGGAAAAAGGGGTCAGGGGCTGAACTGTACTGTACATTTTGTACTGCTGTCCAAAATTAAAAAATATATATATCCCTGGATCTCACGATTTTCCACATCACCTGCCACTGTACTCCCAATTTACCGTTTCCCCTGATAAACTACCGATATTCCGCATCGCCACTTTTATGATCGTGAGAGTCGGACAACTTCGCCGCTCAACATTTCCCTCTTTTTCACAACCTAATGTTGGCCGGTACGCGTGACAACGTGCTGTACTGTGACTCAAACCCAATCTGTATTGTTCATCATTACCTGTATAAGCACAAAGACTTGAAATATCTGACAACACAAACACAATGAATATAGACAGAAAGTGAAATGTAACAGATAACACAGGCACATGGGAGTTACTATCACGCGGTCTGGAATCCCACGACGTATACGTGCGCGCTCCGGTTCCGTATTTGCTTGCTGTGTTTTTTCCCCTGTAACGCATGCGCGGAGTCGGCTCGGCCTCCGCGCGCAGCTCTCCTGCATTTCCGATGACGCAGAGAACTTTCCGGAAGGCCGCCGTCGGGTTCAGGCTGTTGTTTGTTGCACAGAGCTGGTTGGAAAGTGGAGAAGTAGCGGTGTCTTTTATAGATAATAACAAAGTAAGAGTTTTTCTTTTAGGAGTGTTATTGTGGATCTTTTGCTTTTAATAGGGAAGGTTGCCAACCACCTATTTTATTAAAGAATAATGTCGTCAGTCAATAACAATGCATACGGAATACGTAAAAACATCTATTAATTACTGGTGTATCACTGGTTATTGGTTATCCAGTCTCATAACATTATATGCTACGAGATATATTCGTATATTCGTGGCTAAGTCGTGGGTTTGTTAGCTATGTTAACGTAATGGAAAAACTAAAAGTTAGCCGTAGACTAACTTGCTAGCTGGGGCACAAATTTAAATGTATCGGTGGTTAATAGGTAGCCTGAATTTTAAGGTTTAGTAGTTTTGTAATCTGTGTATATGCTAAACGTATGACGTACTTTTAGAAAGTCGACATTAGTTTCACTGTTATTAGCTTTCTCGCATGAAGCGTCATCATCCGGCTGTCTGTTGCAATGCACCGGCTTCATTGCGCTTGTGTGTGTGTTTGGTATCTGCGTCGTCTTTAATTTAAAAACACCATAAGGGTCGGTTTTATTAGCATTTATATTACATAAATTACGTGATTCATGTTTTGTAGGTACTTTTATAGGAGTCGGGGGTCGGAGCTCTGACGCATTTTGACTGCGTTTTAGGTTTCTTAGGCCGCATTGCTGGCAGGCTGCTTTCTGAGGCTCTGAAGCTCCCAGATCGCCCACCATGCTGGTAGCCAGACTCACGTGTCTGCGCAGTCTTCCGGCTGCCGGGCTGCGCTCGGCCCTGGCCCAGGGCCCTCGGCCTCTGAGGTGCCTTCAGCTTAAGGTCACTCAGCCCTTGGTGAAGCCTCATCAGGTGAGCTCATCAGCTATGACCCCTTCACGCCGCCCTTTCAAATCCGACTGACATTCTTGGCACCCCCTCATTTCTCCCTATAGTGTTATAGAAGTGTTCGTTTTTCCCTTACAGTTCTGAGGTATACAAATGAAAAGTGTCATACTATTTGTCACTTTGCTCTGCTACTTATTGCTATGCTAATGGATAAGCCTGCCGACAGGACTGTACATCTGAATGCAACATATTTTTTTAAATCAGGAGTATTCCACCAAAGCTCGATTTGCTCTCAGACGTGGCAAAACTGCCAAAGACCAACTGAAAGATGCAGCTTTCGAGCCAGCAACTGACACAGCTGCAAAAGGTGATCACATTCAATATTGATCATATGTCTATGTAGTTTTAATGTATTACCTCATTTGTTTACTATTTGTTAAAAATAGGTTGATATCGGTTAGTATGCTTACTACAATGGTAACAGTGGATAAACTGGTGATGCAAGTGTCAATAAACTGTGCCATTACTTTCAAGTGATACATTGTGTGTATTGTAAATACCGACTGTTAGTCTAGCATAATTGATTTTGGCATAATGGCTCAAATGCCTGCTTGGGGACTAGGTGAGGCCAGGACTGTGGGCATGGAAGGGGGTGATAGTCTAAAGAGCCATGCTCTGCCATGCGTTTGGCCTGTTTCTGTGGGTGGCCCAAGGAACTTGGCCAGGTTGCACTAGTAAATGTCTCCCCTCAGGCATTTGCCAGGTTTTTAATGATGAGTTATTTCTGGTAGACTTGTAGTGCGCAGTGTGTGGCCCCTGGTCTGTCTGTTGTTGGGAAAAGTGGCACATTCTAGTGTTCTTAATTCTGTTAAGTGGTCTGTCTTCTGGGGGGTCACAGAATCTCCACTCTGCAGCCCCATTTGGAGCTTTGAATGGTAGTCTTTAGATAGGAGGATGGATGGATGCATAGATGTACTTTATTGATCCTGACTGGGAAATCCCTTTAGGATAACCTATATCCCACCTGCCACGATAAATATTGCTTCTTGGTAGTTTGAATAGCACAAGGGCGGTTAATCTCGATTCTTCTGGCCACCAGATCTTTATCCTACACGGACGTTAAAGACTCTAGATATTTATCTGTTGTGGTCGTTTCCATCCTGTTAAATGGGTGTAAATTTGACCAGAGGTGCTAAATACCTGCATAGTAAGTGTCAAGCCTCATTCACCCCTCGTTGCAGTGAATCTCTACTCTTCTGTTTCTGTTTGTCAAGCACTCTGCTTGATAAATTTCTGCATTCAGAAAGTGAATTACCATTTATTCTGTTAAAACATGGAAGTGTTTTCATTTTTACACTTCCCATGTATATTTACTTTGACCATATTCTGTACAGCTTTGGTACAGATAAAATATGTAATTTCTGGTTTCCCAGGTTGACTTTGTTTATTTTCTAGGCTATGTATCTGGCATATGTAGTAATTTTTATTAGCTAAGTAAGAACTGCCTAATAAAATGCTATGAAAAAGAAATCAATGTGTTGTTCAAGTTAAGTTAGTCATTACTATGAATTATGTAATTAAACAAACAGCAAGTGTACCTTTTTCTTTGATTTCTCAATGTTCTAAATCAGTGATTCTCAACCATTCTTGCACCGCGACCCAATGTCAAGTACAGGTTAAAATTAACTCTATGATCAAGCACGTAGTGCACTCTGCAATTTACACCAGTCAATGCCTATCCCCTAAATCTGATTGGACGTGCCAGTGAATTTTAAATTAAGCTTTGGCTTCTTGGATTGGATGAGTGTTCACTAGTTTTGCGCTAAGCACATGCAGACCTAAGACCCGTTTATATAGGTTAATTTTGGAATTAGGGCTAGGGAAATCTGGTCGTAGATCAGCATAGGAACTTGCTGGTTTTAAAATGCTTACATTTCCAACTCTGCCTCATGACCCTTTCAGAACTTGCTGCAAACCTAATTTGGGTCGCGACCCATTGGTTGAGACTTGCTGTCCTAAGTATCACTGTGCTGTTTTATAACAAACTTTTCACCAATATATTAAGTTTTCACAAACTGTTTGAAGAATCACACAGAAATGTATTCATTCTTTGGATATTGTCACGCGTCTATCGTGGAAAGGACAAACACCCATTTTCTGTCAGTGTTTGTAAGTTATTAGTTGCATTTGAACATGTGGAGGATTGGCTTGTGTTCAGTTGACAGCATAGGAAGGATGATTCTTGCTGGAGGAGCCGCGGTCGGTCTTGGAGCTTTGTGCTACTATGGACTGGGGATGTCGAATGAAATTGGAGCCATTGAAAAAGCTGCGTAAGTGTGTCCACAGCAAAATTCAGTTTGATCATTGCTTTGTTTTTTGTGTCTAGCGTAGGTCTTAAATGTTTAAAGATCTGATAGTGAAATCTGTTTATTTAAATGTCAAATATAAATGCTGTCTTCCAGAATGTCTCAAGATTTGCTTAGTGTTGCTTTTCATTTCATTTTTGGGCTCTGCGGAATAGCACTGATAATCTTTAGTTTGACTTGATTAAAAAGCTTTGCATTTCATGCTTAGACAGTTGTGAGCAGCATGCATACCCTCAAGCTGTATTCAGCTGTGATTTTGTGAGATATCCAATAAAAGACTTTTTGTCTAGATTAACAGCGTTTTAATGTCAAGTGGCAACAGTAAATTTGAGTTTTTTTATTTTTCTTTGAAATGACATTAATTGCTGTACCTAATTTACTGATGCATGATTTCTGCCTAGAAACTATGCTATGTCTGCCAAACACCAAAATTTCTACCCGCATTTTTGCGCATCATAATTTTATGTTTCTGCCTGTCCTTTTGGTAGGATCTGGCCCCAGTATGTGAAAGACAGGATTCACTCTACCTACATGTACTTTGCCGGCAGCGTGGGCCTGACGGCCCTGTCCGCTGTTGCAGTGAGCAGGACTCCTGCGCTCATGGGTCTGATGATGCGAGGGTCCTGGCTGGTGAGCGTCCCTCCAGGCTCTATGATTACGCTCGGTGATCAGCAGCCCTGAAAGAATCTTTACTTGCCGTCACCAAGGAAGTTAAATAATAATAATAATAATAATAATAATAATAAAAGCTGTGCATTTTCTTCTGCCTTTATTATATCAGGAGCATAATGGCTTGTAACGGGAGGATTTGGGGTTCAAAAAAAGTGCATAGTGCATGTCATCCTGCCTATAGGCTAATAGATAATGACCAGCATGACTGCGCTGGGTTACTTGCCTCACTGTTGCTGATATTTTTTGCGCCGCTGCATTTTCTGCATTTGTTCAGGCCATCGGCGCCACGTTTGCTGCCATGTTGGGTGCTGGTATGCTGGTCAGATCAATTTCATATGAGAATAGTCCCGTTCCTAAACATCTCGCCTGGATGCTACACGCAGGTCAGTTTATTGCAGCTCAAGGATGGAGTGTTTGTTATGCCCATGGTGTTATGGGAAATGAAGTCCAATAAAACTCTGGTAATAGCTTGAAGTATTGAAGTGGATCTGTTATTTAAGGCATATATTTATTTGTAAGTTTTTCTCATGCAGCTCAGTCATACTAGAAAATAATGTTTATTAATTTTACATAACACTAGGGGGCAGTAATGTTAAAGACTTAAAGCGCGTGGCAGCTCTCAAGGTACAGTAATCAAAATTGCAAATATATATTCAAATGCCAGACAAGTCGATCAAATCAAATGCGTGTCTGTGTAAATGAGAATTAAACTTAAATGTCTAAATATCACATCTGTAAAAGTTTTTTTTTCTTTGAAAATGTAAAAAATATACTACATTATATTTTGACTAAAGATATTACAAGTTAGCAAACAGTTCTCCACGTACAGGTTTTGTGATATTCTGTATCCTTCTTGTCATCTAAGAATTAAGAGCTTGTTTCTAATTTTGGTGTCGGAGTGAAGTGCTGGTTGTACCTCCTTATGAATCTGAGCCTTTTCTTCCCTGCTAGGTGTCATGGGAGCAGTGGTGGCACCCCTGACCCTGCTAGGTGGCCCCCTGGTGTTGAGGGCAGTGTGGTACACAGCAGGCATTGTGGGGGGGCTCTCCACAGTAGCCGTGTGTGCCCCCAGCGAGAAATTCCTTTCTATGGGGGGTCCGCTGGCTGTCGGCTTTGGAGCGGTGTTTGCTTCTTCCATTGGTGAGTCTGATGTGACCACGTTCAACTAAAGAGCCTTAGTAATGTATTTTTCCAGAACATCCAAACTCTTATTTACACAAGTACAGCCCCTGCAGTCAGGGTCTTGCCAGAGACTTGTTACTCCCTGTATTTTCTTACCTTCTCAGATTTAGCTGCTCTGTGGCACACAAAGACCTCTAGTGTTAATATCAAAGCTGTGTGAAATGTAATCCCATTAGTTAACAAATCTGGCTTATCTTTTCTTTACTTTTCCGAAATGACTGTACTCGATGGCTATTTGGTTTGAAATTTACCCTCCTCCTCTTTGCAGGGTCAATGTTCCTGCCGCCCACTTCAGCTCTGGGCGCAGGCCTGTATTCAGTGGCGGTTTACGGAGGGCTCATCCTCTTCAGCATGTTCCTGCTGTATGACACACAGAAAGTGATCAAACGTGCCGAAAGCTACCCCTTGTATGGAGTCGCCAGATATGACCCCATCAACTCGTAAGTATAGAAGTGGTGACCTGTTGGCCAAAAAGGTGTCGAGTAATTGGGTCAAGTTGACATGGCTGTGCTGACAGCCCATCTCTCTGCGCATTTTTTGGTTGACTTGTGGTTTGTGAGTAAGGGAGTATCTGTCTGATACCGACAGCCGATACCGCTTGTATGGGAGGTTCTGCTTAAGTTTAGAGACACTAATATTGATTCATCAAAAGTAACCTCTTACAGTTATATCAGCAGAGAAAATTTGAGGCTTTCTTTCCACAAGGGACTGTTCTGTTTCATGGGATGAAGCATTTAAAGTTAAAGGGCACCATAGAATTTGAGTATGCCATCATCACAACCAATTAATAGGATGTCAGACATGCACTGTTACATACTCTTTCCATGTTATAAAGGAAACTTGTTTTATTTGACTTTATATTTTCACTTATAATTGTTCACTCAACTTTTCAATGCTTAACAAGAATAGAAAATCTGCAGGTTATGAAATAAATTGAAAGCGCAAAAAGTTGTACTGGTAGTGTAACTGCTACATAAGAACACATTCACCTAAAAGTGATATGTGCAGTAATCGATTGTTGTAACAATGTAAATCCGTACATATTTTATGTGCATTTGCGCTGCTCTGACTAGAAATTACCGTGCGTTTTAACCTTTATACTGCAAATGAAAAACGAATTGGTATATAATATGTATATACCAGTATAGTATATAATATGCACATAAGTTTTTTTAATAAGGTTAACGACAGTGTGCACAATGGTTTTGTATGGCTGCATGTCTAAAACAGGGAAACTCAGACTTTGTTTGCTTTCTACTTAGATGCCTACAGATTTACATGGATACACTGAATATCTTCACACGGATTGTGATGATTCTGGCCGGTGGTGGAAGCAGGAGGAAGTGAGGTGGGCTTCAGAGGCCCCATGCTGGCAGGTGGGCTTCAGGCTCACTGGGATGTGGGAATATCGGACTTTACACAACATTCAGCTTTAAACCATGGGTGTAATATTATCTGTACATTATGTTAAATGTTCTTGTTTCACAATAGTGCAAAATGTTGCTACTTATGTGCAGAAATCTGAAGATGTGTAATTAAACCCTAAAGGATTTCTAAATTCCATAAGTTTGTGGGGTTTTCATTTATATTTATGTTTGAATTGCCTAGGTGTTCCATTTTCTCACATTTTAAGGTGTGCCGGTGTGAGGACAAATGACTCTATAAATGTACTAAGGCAGTCATTCGACCTTGGTGGAGGAAGAATGCAACCATTATGTGTGTGTGCTTTTTTTATTTTTTAAACGAGCTTCCGTTGGACAAAAACATGCCTATGTTGAAATAGTAGGACATTACAAAGGACTTTGGTTTGGCATTATCATTGGTAAACAATTATTAACTTTCTTTTAAAAACTGTGGCGTGAACTGGAAAATTAAATGACAGTTGTGCTTTGTAAAACCTTGCTATTACAAGCCATAACAGATCTCCTATTAACTTGAGCATTAACAGATGTCATGTAAACCATATTTCAGCAGTGACTTTAAAGCAGTGCTTTTTAATTCCGCTTGGACGCACCATTTTCTTTTTAAAAGCTTAATGTATCATGCTGGCTAAATATTCTTGACTTACGGAAATGCTTTGAATGAAAACCAAGCTGTCCATTTAATTGACTGATGTGGCACTGCAGAAATGCTAGTTCTGCAGAATGACTGTAGCCATCTGCTTTTTTAGTTCTATAGTACTTTCAGATAAATGTCTTAGAGTTTCTGAAGTGCTAAATACTTAATACAAAATATCCATGATGTTAATTATGGGATTCCCATGCTTTCCTGTATTATATCTCCCCGTATATCTCTGGGGAATTTTTATTTTTATTTGAACACTTGGAGTCCATTGTGATAAAGAATTCATTTCTATAATCCCACCTGCACCATACACCTGTGTATGACTAAGCTCTTTAGTATTGCGCCAGCAATGACTTAAAATAAAATTTGCTGCTTCTATTAAGATAGAAAATACCTAATATACATATAAATCTTACATTTCAGTGTGTTTTCACTGGTATGTGTAATGAATCTTCCTGGTGTGATATTCACTGCATTCCATAAGAATGAGATCTGCTATATCCTATTTCTTGAAGGCAACTTATGAAGTACCCAAAGAAATAACTCATAATATGACATAGAAGTCAACATGAGAAATTCACTAGTAGCTCTGCATCTCCTGAAAATGGCGCGCACTGTCTTCATTGTCAAAGTTAACTAAAAGCAGTTCTGCTTGTTTGTATTTCTGAAAATTGAATTAAAAGTTTTTAAAAGGTGTCCCTCCCTTTTGTGCTTTTCTGTCTGCTCGTTAATTCTGTGTGGCGTGCCCTGGCATATCAGGCGTCTTCTTTCCCACTGTATTCTTTTCTCTAGGCTGTTAGATATCCTTTATTGAAAGCACTGCAATGCCAATTATGCGTGTTTCATATCGAGCTTTATCATGGATATCCTGGAGCATCCGACTTCAAAAAAAAAAAAAAAAACTGGTAGGACATGTTTTTTTTTTTCCTCCCCTCTTCCATTCTTCTCGTTTTTGGGTTGGGCCGCGGTGCGTACCAGGCTAGTCATAAGTGAAAGGAGCAGTGCAACCCCAGATGCTCATTTGTCACTGAACTCTAAAGGCAGTGAGATGAAGAAGCAAACTCTGCTGGTTTTGGCTCTGGTGTTGCTGCTTTGTGTGGATACACTGTCCACCAAGGGTAAGAGAGCCCAGCCCTCATGCAGTTTGTAGTCCATACTAGCTGGCTACTGATATTCTGATGGAATCGGCTTGCTTATGGAAGATCACTGGTTACATTTACTGCTGTCACTCTTGTACTGCTATTAGTACATAGTAGTGTGGTTGCAGTGGTATATATTGTATCTCGGACAGTTTTGCCTTGCTATGGGTATTGGTAATACGTCAGAGGTCATCTAGAGATCCACGAAGAAATAGAAGATGCAGGAAATTTTAGTTTCTTTGAATTGTATGGAAAATAGCCTAATGCTTTGTGAATGCTTTTTGCAATGCTTTTTTGTTTTTGTTAATTAAATATGTATAACTACTTTTTTCTAATTGTAGTACTTCGAATAGATCCCAAAAATGTATTCAATGTTCCAATAACATTTGTTTATTAGTAAATGTGTCTTTGTATCTGTGTGGTATGTTTAGTAATTGGTACATTGGTACAATGATTTTTTTATCCTGCAATACTTAGCAAAGAACCCGAAGAAGCGCTTGAAGTGCTGCAGCATGAGAGACCTCAAGCTGCTTGAAGGTAATACAGTAAGGGCACAGACCTCTGCATGCACGTCGAAAACAATGCCATAGAATTAAGCTCTAATCTACATTATTGCACATGCTAAACTTATTCGCTGTCTTAGGTTGTTGTGCGGCAGGATTTTCAGATCTTTTATTATACAGGTAAATCTGAAACTGCAACTCTTCATCACCGTTGCAAGAAGTGCAAGAATGTATATCAACCAGGCGGAGTTCCCCTGCCGTCCAAGTGATCCTGAATATCAACTGACGTCTGCAGCCTTTAGCCGTCTTTCGCAGCAAATCTCGTGGGTACTCGCATAGTGTATTTCCCAGGCACTGTGATTGTTATATTGTTTCCTGTTAAATAAAACTGAGGGCAGAACTTTCTTTTTTTACAGATATATATATTTATATATATATATCGCCATAAAATACAAGAGAATTCTCTTCTGCTTGGTCTTTTTTTTATTTAATGTTTCTATGTAGGGAAGGGCAGTGTTGGCATTGCTCGGTGTTTGGCAGGAGACTTAACTGATTTGCAGTTTAATGCTGTTCTTGCACTTATTCTTAATCTTTTGTAATATTTTTTTTGTAATTGTGAGAGTTTACATTCCTGCTGTTTTCTTTGATTAAAGCAAATGCTTTTTTATGGAGTAATCTTGAAATTAATCATTTTGAGGAGACCCTTGATCGTAGTTGTGAGAGTATCCTGGGGAGGGTCATGCTGTGGCAGGGGGGGGTTGATCCCCAATCACACTAGGCAGTGGTGCATGCTAACCAGAATGCCAGGAAGAGGGGGGGTATGATTGAGCACATGCTGTTTTATAATCAGGTCAAGTCCATTTTATTTATATAATAGTTCCGAACAAGAAATCTGATTGGACAAGAGGCGTTCTCTTCAAGAATTCTATTTATAAAGCACATTTAAAACAACAGCAGTTGACCAAAATGCTGTACAATTCCAGAAAATAGACAAAATAGATGCATGAAATAAACAGAATTTTTAAAAGTAAACAAATAATCGCATAAATAAGACTAACTCATGCTGGTCTACAAAGTCAAGGGGAAAAGATTTGGGTTTTCATGTTTTTAGCCTGGATTTAAATATGACCAAAGTTGCTGCAGACCTAATATGATGTTCCAAAGCTTGGGGGTAGCTACTGTGAAGGCATGGTCACCTAACCCTAACCCTATGAGCATAAGTCTAGACCTCGGCACGACGACCAGCAACGTTTGGTCAGAGGGTCAAAGTAACTGGGAGGAAGAATAAGGGTGTGAGTGGTCACGATCGTTGTGTGTCAGTCAGGAGCTTGACTGCAGCATTCTGGACTAACTTGAACGAGCAAGGGACAACTTGTTGACTCGTGTATAATGAATTGCAATAGTCTAGCAGTGAGGTGACTTAGTTTTTTCAAAATCAGCTACAGAAAGAAAAAGCTTAACTTTGGCTAATATCCAGAGTTAATAGAAATAGGCTTCGGCAACTGAGTTAATGTGTCAAATTTAAGGGCACTATCAAAAATCACACCTAGGATTTTAGCAAAAGGCATGCGGCAGATTATCAGAGGGCCAAAGTTACTTGCAGGAGCACAGGTAAGGTCAGAGGGCCAAACAACATAATCTCTGTGTTTATTGTCCTTTAAGAAAATTCTGCGACATGCATACAGTATGTCAGTGTCTTTCACATATTCAGCTAAGGTTTTAAGAGAATTTGACGCAGGTTTCAGAAAGAAACCTGGTGTAAAACATCAAGGAAAACCACAAGTACTTGTGTCCAATCACAATACAATTATAATGCGCTTGTCAAATGTGCGATATCTCTGTAGGCCAAAGCAGGAAATGACGGTAAACGTGCTTTATCTTATGTTTCCCAGTGGACTGACCCTGTATTCCACTAGATGAAGAAGCATTAGCGCGGTAAGCCTCTTTTCCACCATCTGCCCTCTCCACCAGGATTAATTCCAAAACCAGGGCACTGGCAGCTGCTGTTAACATCTATAAATTAGCCCCTAACCTTATTAAAAACAGATACATATGAAATGTAACGTTTCATCAATAGCAAAAAAAGACAAGATAATCCTGAAAAAAGTACAAAATTTAAAAAAAAAAAAAAAAAAAAGTTGCTGCCATGTAGATTAGAATGGCTCTGCTTCTCACACGATTTCCAGCAGTAAGCCTAATGCCAACATTCACCACTAGAGGGGGTTAACATTGCTTTTACAGTTTGCCTTACACACAAGACATTTTCCATTCTCACCAGAATAGTAGCACACTAAATGTGGTTTATATAAAACGTTAAGGACTACATCTCATTCAAGTATGTGAATCAATGTCAATTTGAAGTTTCCTGAAAATACCTTTAATTACCTTCCAAGGCAGTGTGTTGCTCAGCAGGCTCTCTGCCTGTGATTGGAAGGTTGCTGGTTCGAACCTGCCCTCAGCAGAATAGTCACATGTTTGTGGGCCCTTGAGTGAGGCCCTTAACCCCCATTTCTATGGGTGCTGGCTGCAGGTGGCTGCTCGCTCTCACCTGTTTGTGTGACATAGAAAGCAAGATGGAGTAAGCAAGAAGAGAATTTCAGTATCAATGAAGTGTCATTATTATTAAATTGAAATTATTCATGTCAGCATCCAGTTAAACCAGGGGTGTCAAACTCCATTCCTGGGGGGCCGGAGCCCTGTGTATCTTAGTTCTTACCCTGTTCCACCACAAATGGTTCAGCTCAAGAGCTGTGTGGTAATTAGCCCAAGGACCTGAATCAGGTGTGTCAAATGAGGATAAACCCAAAATTGTGCAGGACTCCAGCCCTCCAGGACTGGAGTTTGACACCCGTGAGTTAAACCATTTATTTCTAGAGGGCGATGTGGAGAGTTTTGTTTTCTGAAGTTGGTAACCATTTATATATAATTGAGAGTGTTGAGTTCCAGCCCACATGAAAAAAAAATCTGCATGCTTCATATAAAGCATTTTATTTTACTTACAATTATATATGGCAACTCGTGATGTTTTTATATGTTCACTGCAAGTGTTTATTCTTGCATGATTGAGGCCAATTTCATACCAAAAACATTCTTGACATGTAAGTCACTCAAGAGAATAACCTACAGGAAAAATACAAAACTTTTACATATATTTTACATTATACCATATGCGATATTGTTTCTTAATAAACATTTATATTGCTTTTATGTTATTGTAATAAATTCAGACGGTTTAATTAGAATACTCATTCTAGCTGTGTTGAACCACTGTCCATGATTCAGCTGAGTTCATTCAAAGAGTTATGCATAAAAACTAATACTGACAAAACATCCATTTAATATGCACTGTACATCAATGTAGAACTACTGTGTTTGACAAAACATTAATAAAGGACTATTATGATTATTGACACATTCATTTAATATGAATTGTTCTTGAATGTAGGACCTTTATGTTTGACAGTACAATAACTTCAAAAGTATTTTACATGAATAATAGACATACATGTCTAATTACACATCAAGCTAAGGAAGATAGCAATGGTGGTTTTCAGGTAGAAGAGGATGAGTTGTTCACTGGCTTTTGAGATAAACGAGGCGATTGCTATGGGTGTGTAGTTATTCAGGAAGAATACATTTGTGGTTTTAGGGTCAGGAATGATGAGAGATGTTTTAAGACAGGTCCAAGGGCGTAGATTTAGATATGGATGACAGGGACATAACCCTATCAATACTGTGGGAGTTCCAAGTGTGTTTAGGGGGCCTGGGGGTCAGAGGCTGATTTGGTCTCTGCAAATGTTGAAACCAAATCATTCATCTTTAGGTCAGATGTGTTGATTCAAAGACGAATTAAAGATGTCTGTGAATTTTGGTAAACTGCACAGTTCCTAAGTACAGCAGGAGTAACCATGTCAGATCCACCAATTTTTTGAGTGGATAATGCTTATGTTTAGCAGACTTGATTACTTTGTTCAGTTAGTATTAGGTCCTGTGTTTGATTGCCCAGCTCAGCAATGAACCATGATAAGTGCAAATACTGGCAGGTCCTGCTCAACAACTGTGTCAAGTATGAACTACCTTGAGGGGACTCTTCACTCCACCCAATATTAATAACATTTTTTGGAAGCATAAAGTGCATGATTTGTAAAGGAGACTAATGTGGAATTACCAGCCTTCTACGGAGCCCCTCTGCTGACACAGCAGGAAAGAATATATATTGCATGGCCAGGAGATAATTAAGTGGTGTCCACGTCTTTGTTAAAGCGTGGGAACGAGTTAAATTTCCGGGATGTTGTACGCTGGTCTAATGCACTTGTCGATAACGCCTTTAGGAAGTTAACATGTGTCTTCTCACAATCATGTTATCAATTAAAAATATATAATTTCTTTATAAAATTACACTTACTTTTATCCAGTGGCGAAGTTGCCCGTGTGCTTCCAGGCATTCGGAAATCTCGTGGCCATGCAATATTTTTTTTTTATCTCCTATGTCACCAAAGGGGGGGGTATGCTTCAGGAAGGCAGGTGGCATTAGGAATAGCATCTTTAATCAGGTCTCGGAGGCGAGAGTACAGCGTACGTCCTGTTGTCTAAAGCGGCATGTGTATTGCTTGAGTTTCGTCGCAGTGTGAGCGAACGCTGGAGAGATACAATTAAGACTGACATCGGAGCATGAAGTCCGCATTTGCGGGAGCGGAGCCAGCCAGTTTACTGAGCTTGTGCCTGATTAGCGCTTCAGCAACATTTCATACAGTTCTAGAGGTCTTTTGTGACGCAAATCAATTCAGTTCAGTACATTTTTATATAGCGCCTTTCACAACAGACTTTACGTGGGTGTGTTGTAATACAAAAACATGACAAAAGGGACGACAAAGATATTAAAGAAAGAAAGCCAACTGACAACAGAGGAGAGGTTAATAGGTTGTGGTAAATAGGGTGATTCATATGTCGAGGAGTTCTTTACAAGAGAAATTCATTTAAAAAAATGTTGACAAAAAAAATATTTTGTGTCAACACAGCATGTCTGCGGCTTCGGATGACATCACCTTCTGTGAGGATGAATGAGCCTGATGTAGGCATGACAATGTAAATCAAATATGTGTTAAACTGCCTAATATACAGTAAATGGCTTCTGTTACAAGTTGTGCCGTTAAAGGTAAACATGTGAAATTCCATTTGTAGGTTTACTTAAAATCAGGGGTGTCAAACAGTTAACGAGCCGTGCTGGAACCAGTCGAATCCAGTGCAAAGTAGACAGTTCTTCAAACTGTGACACATCTACTAAACAGAACTGCTCTCAGTCTTAATTAGACAGCTACCATTCCGTCCAGATTTTGTATCACTGCATAGTTATTCACAGTTTCTCAGTAGTGATGAAGAAAGAAAACACATGAAATCTTGTCTGCAACCTCAATTTATGTCAGACTTGATGAAAGACTGCTGAGCATATTCATCGTCACAAGCTGAAGTCTTCAAAAGCAAGCTGTGCTGTTTCTCTGTTCAAAGAACCTTTCAATAATGTGTTTTGGTTATCTTGCGTACGTCTGTTGTCGCAAACATGCTAAGGGTTTAGGTTCAGAACCCCACGGCGTCATTTCATAATGAGCTTTTTCTGTTTTAAGCTTAATAAAACACTTCTGTCCTTAAAGAGCTGCCCTTAATGCTCTCCATCAGCATATTAAAAAGGATGCGTCAGGAAAATGAGGGTCGGGGTAAAAACACTGTACTGTATGTACTTCGCTGTCAGCACACGTCAGACCAAGGAGAATATGTCAGTGTTAATCCATGGCTCGGATTGGCCACAGAGAAACATGGTTTTAGTTAGAAACTGCAGATGTTAACCTGGGCTTGGTCTGAAAGTGCATCCCAAAGGCAATTTGATTAACATATATGTCTGACATAAAAGACATGGAGGGGGCAGACCAGAGGCAGGCCTTACTTTCAGTGACATCCCTTTATCTGCAGACGCTCACTGGCAGCTCTATGAACCCTGATGAAACAGGAGGATATTAATAATTGTTTGCAGGATACAGATCTGTCTGAACAGCGGTTGTAACCGAATAGCGAGGAGCCGTAATTTCAACCCTTACTTTTGGCGGCACCTTTGCAATCGAAGGTTTGGCCGGAATTTTTAATACCTGAATGCCAGTTGGAAATATTCTTGAGTTTCCGAGCCGGAAGGGGTTTAACAGACATTGTCAAGGTTATTTGGTTTTATTTGCTGTTGGCTGTACCCACAATCCCTAAATTAGAATTCAGTTTATCTGAGAGCTTGCTATGAATGTGCCGCTTGCCAGGCTAAAACACCAGCGTGATACTCATGAATGTTCGGAGATGGTTTTCCTTCCTGGTCTCCATATAGAAGTACGTAAACACAATATTTTAAAATGAAATGAAATGCACAAAAATGGTGCAATTGCACTCATTTTCAGTTCAATCCTGTGCTGAATGCTTATGAGGTAAACCACTATCTGTCCTTGTACACTAATTACTATTTGCAGCTATTTATGTTACATTGAAGGGTGTACCTAGAAAATCTACCCCTTCCCCCCCCCCTATCTTATGTATTCATGGCCCCTGTCAAGCACTGGGCCCCCTGAATCTACCAGGGTGCCCCTCTGACAGCCCAGGTTACACTAATTCTGATTGTCATATAGCAGTATTTTATATTAGGAACAGGCAGTATTAATGACTGGCTGTGTGTTTATACTCTGTGAGCACGTCACAATATATCAGTGAGTATTTTTAAACCCGCGAGCGTGAGGAAGACACTCCACTGCTCGGCGTCATGCTTGCGTCACTGCAGACGAGAATATCTTAGCGCCTCTGAGTGCCTGAAGATGCAGTCGTTTTGCCCAGTAACAGCTGGTCCACTGCACATGACAGTGACTCATGATGGATGCACTAAATCACTTTCATTCGATTTTAGGATGCTAATGCTTATCAGGGATGATAATTGCTTTTTTTTCTACAGGCACAGCAGCAACGGGGCTTCCAACATTTGGGGACAAATCTCGGTCATTTGTCACCCAGAAAACTACCATCTAGAAAATCCAGACGCTTCTGAAATTAATGACAGGTTAAAAATGTAACCCATGTTACACTTATATATGTACTTCATTTAGAGTATTGTTTTAAAAAATCAAATTAGACAATTTGTCAGTAGCAATGCGATGTAAATTTCAAGCTAAAGGAAGCTAATTTGGCCCTTTTATGTGCATTGGGAGTGGAGGGCACGTTGTTGAGGTCTATATTTCTATTTAAGGGCTGCTCTGCTGGCCGCTCCGCTCAATTGGCTGATGCTGGCGTCACGTGCAGTAAGTCAACACCCTGAAAGTCAGTGTCTCTAAGCAAGAAACAACATTTAGGGCTCTGCTGCACTGGGAAGTGGTAGAGGAGTGACAAAATGCAACAGTGAACAGTCACGTACACACAAACAAATGCCATGAAGCAAATTGGATATTGGATTTTTATTCATTTCTGTTTTATTATCTTTAAATAAGAATAAATTCATTTATTTTGTGCATTAATATTTTATTGTATCATTTATTTTCTGAGACACTTTCATGGCTCATTTTTGCTGCGAGTTATAAAATAACTAAAAAAAAAGTAGAACATAAATTCCTTTTATTATATATTTCCATATATTAATGTTTTTAGAAGTAGATGAGAACTAATATTTTAAAATAAATAATAGCACATATATTAATAATGTCATTAACTATAAGAGAATATATTGTTGAGAAAACTTAATGGCAAGAAATCCATAACTTGCCTGTTGTGATTTTTTAAGTAACGTCATTTTTTTCTGTAGCTGTATTCAGAAGAATCGTTTCATCACCATTGGACCCATTTAAATTGAAATATTCCAGCACCTGATTCAGGCATTCCATTGCTATTGACCAGGCTCTGTATTGCACAAGATCTCCTGGCACCTGAGCTGTTTAGTTTTCCTACGCCCCCTTGGGACCCTCATGGGAAATGAATTGTTGTAATTGGGGAGTAGCGAGCGCGTCTAAGATGTCTGCGGAATAAAGACGCGTCACTGGATTAGCATCTGAGCCGCTGTTTCAGCTTCTTCCAGTCAGCCAGTGACACCTTGAGAAGGACGGTAGACACTCTGTCCTCATCCAGCCTGTGATTTTCATCTTTCAAAATGAAGAATGTGAAGATAGCACCGGTTTTGCTGCTTCTCACTGTGGTGCACATCTGCTGTGGTGAGTTTCGGTGAATATTGTCATTAAGGCTCTCCTTCACCTGCAACCTTACTACACTTCTGCTAGTTCTGGGAAACCCACCCATACTGTACTTCTGCTCACATGTCATTTCTCTCTGTTCTTCTTTCTGTGTTCTCTTCAGTTCCATCAGTAGGAAGTGAGTGTTCTTTATTTGAACTTTTAAACCATCTGTTGTGTTAATGTGACTGGTTACATTTTATTAATTGATTGTAGTGGGGGAACTGATTTTTTTTTGTAATAACACAGTATAAAATGTCCTTGACATGTAGCACATAATTTATCATTCTAATAATTGATATAATACTGGTGTAATGTCTTCTGGAGTTAGATTTTCAACATTGTAACACTAGATCATGAAGAAATGATCACTGATTCTTGTTCATCTTGGTTGAATTTATTTCAATTAATTCCCTGTGAATAGCACAAGCCGACTACGCCCCTTATTTTTTTGATAATGGACCAGGCAGCCGTAGTGGGAACATGGCTTTGTACAGCCTTTCAGAAGATACTCCCATCGGTAAGTCCTACATCAAAAGGGGCCGCTTGCACAAGGTAGTCAAATTAGGAGGAATACTTTGTCTCGCTGAGTGGGACAAACTGTTGTGAGTTTAATGAAAATTGAAAATGCATGTCTTTCGCAACACACTCAGCTAATTATAGGCTTATAGACTGACTAATGCCCTCCAGAAGCGCAGGGATGGTTTTGTTTACCTGACAGCTGGGTTGCAGATACACTCCACACATGAACAAAGAGGAATGATTCAATTCACAATGGTAAAAAGACAGACCACATAGGGATATTATATGGATGCCTCAAACATTCTTTTTGCATGTCCTTACAAATCATTTACATACCTACCGCATCATATCTTCTCCTTCTGTCATCACCACGTTTCATCGTGTAGGTGCGTTTAGTAATTGCGGGTAGGATATCTTTCCCTGATCTGCCATATGTATGTCGATCAATTCCCATCCATTGTCATCCAGGATCGCACATATACACCCTCAATGGAAGTGACCCGGAAAATGATCCAGTGAGGTTTGGGTTGACCTTTGAAAAGGGCTCCAAGGAATATTTTGAAGTGGATCCTAAGACTGGGAATGTCACCCTCATTGAGGAGCTGGACAGAGAAGTACGTCTGAATTTAAAACACCTCCAGAGGTGTCTGTAATCAGTCACATTTTGGTTAACGGCAGATTTTCTTCGGCTGTCTTAGAAACAAGATGAAATCGAAGTCCTTGTCAGTATTACAGACGGACGCAACAAAGTAAGCCCGATGACACATTTCAATGCTTGTTGTTGGTGGCTGACAATAGATGAGGATTCCCTGCAACGAATATCTTTTTGTTCCTGGACTTTGCTGTAGGTGGTTGAAAAAGTAAGAGTATTTGTCACGGATGCCAATGACCAGCAACCAGAGTTTCAAAATCTGCCCTTTGTAGTAAATGTCCCAGAGGTATGTATACTGTAAAGAATGTTTTTTATTGTAGATTAATTTTTTAATGGAGGTAAATAAAACAGAAATCATGCTGTATAACAGATTTAAATGCCTTATTGAGTTAATTTTATGCAACTTTTTATTTTCGTCTAGGTCAGTGTGTGTAATGATAATTATATATGTTGAGTGGAGCAGTTACCTTGATGTTGTTCTCAGGACACAGCTACTGGTAGCAGTATTTACAAAGTTCTGGCCCTGGATAGAGACATGGGTTCTGGTGGCAGTGTGACCTACTACCTTCAGGTGAGAGCGTCTGGGATCCTCTGGGGTCCAGGGGGGTTGGAAATTAGTGCAACACTGGTGAATAAAATGAGTTAATCTCTCTGTACGGGAAATGGAAATGCACTGTGAGGCAAGTACATTTAATTTCAGCCAAAATGAACAAGTCTGATACATACTTGTGTGGTGCAGGATTAAATTTCAATTACATTTGGATGCAGTTCTGAGGGCTTAGCGGCGGCCTGGGTTTGCCTGTAACCGATTAGGAATATCAGTCGGCACTTTGTGTCTGGCGGTTGTGATGCTGGCACAGTGTACACAGCAGACTAACCCTGTGCCCTGACTCTGTGACGCTGTGAGAGTCTCGCCGAATGATTAATCTGATGTTTGCCACAGAATCATAACCATGCTGGTGGGCTGGATTCTGGGAATCTGAAAAGTATCATTCAGGCGGAATGACAGATTTCGGGAGAGGCTTTGAGCTACACGCATATACATGCACGATTGGCAGCAGAACGTGAAACTCGAGAAATCGAGCCCCTGTATTATTAAATATTTAAGATCAACCCACGCATTGGGATACTTAGTGTGGATAAGATGTACTTGAACAAATCCCAAGCACCAGTTTGTTTTCCAAGAAATCGAAATTTCTAGTTAAACTTCTGTACCTCTGATAGATGTGAAATATATCCCACGGCCCTGCAGTAGTAAAACTCCTTGGTCAATCCCACCCCTTCTTCATCTATCCTATTTTGTTGAAACCCTCTTGGTCGGCAAAATCTCCTCCATGGCTCTCTGTACAAGTTTGCAGACCTTTGAATTCTATATAAATGCATACTGATGAGGTATGCTGTGCACCGCATACGTCATTACAGTGAATCTTTCTCCTAATTCAGAGTAACCCTATGAACAAGTTTGCCATAGATGGGCACAGTGGGGTCCTTCGAATAAAACCTGGTGAGACTCTCGACTACGAGGCCTGCAGAACCCACGTCATCAAGGTGCTCGCCAAGGTGAGCGGACTTACGGTGTTTTTACGAGGAGCATAATTTTGGTATTCTGGCAAAAATAATAAAAAATAAATAAATAATGAAGTGGAGTAAAAGAGTAAAAACTGTGCCAGCAATAAACAGGACAGTGATAATTATGCAAGGCTTGTGGGTATATGTAGCAAATAATGTATCCATCCATCTTCTAACGACTCATCCGGGGGGGGGGAGCATTGAACACAAAGTTAGGGTACATCTTGGGTTGGCTATCAGTCCGTTGCAGAAAATGTTTCTGTTATATGCAGTATATGAATACCCATTTACTGAATTTTTCATTGATTGATTGATTGATAATTGAACTCTTCTTTATAATTAACAGAATTTACAATGACCAAAATATTTAAAGCCTTTCACTGCGTGACTTTCATTATTGATAGATTTGCAAAAGGGGGTGTCTATAGGAATATACAATATAAATATATAATAAAAAATGTAATTAAAACAAATATGTTCCCTTTTTGTGGCTTATCTGGTTATTGACGGTGTATAAAAGGTGTAGTGGGCTGGAAGAGGAAAGCACGGCTCCATATTCAGTTTGCAACATGTCGAACTATCTTTCTATTCTTAAGGATGGTGGTGGAAAATTCAAAGGAAAGTACCTAGTGATGTCATCATCAGCTACTGTGACAGTCAATGTAATTGACACCCAAGACACTCCCCCCACCTTTGTCGGAACCCCATACTTTGGATATGTCTATGAAGTCTCAGTTCCAGTAAGTGGTTATGACGATCAAATAACAAGATTAATGAGATTCTTCCCACAGGAAGTATGAAACATTTTATAAGCGATATAATGAATATTATGTACAATATACAGTATGTAGTCATATTACCTAGAACATAAAAGGCAATCAGTTATTTTTAACTGAAGCGATCATTTCATTTGTGATTTAGTGATTCACATTCAAATAATATCAATCCGTCTTTTAACTATTTACCTTTTACAGACCACAAGATTCAAGTGAAATTGTGAATAAAAATTTTAATTGGTGTAGTGCATATTTAAATATTCATCTCTACCTATGTGTTTCAGGGTTCTGAAATATTCACTGTTTATGCTAAAGATGGAGACCAGGGTAACCCACATCCTATTCATTATGCAATTATTAATGGTAAGTAACAAAAAAAGGTATAAATAACACTATTCCAATTTGTTCACATTTTCACAGGACAGTCGCTGGGTTTCTACGACACACTAATAATACTTACAATTGAGTGTGTTTCACTTTTGGGCCTGATAACATTTATACACTCTTTCAATATTACTGCAATTTTTCTGTAAGTTATGTATGAAACATGTGCCCAAAAAACAGAATATTTAACGTCATTCAGTATTAGAGCTACATTTTTTAAAATAGAATGAAAAATTTGCAAACCAAATTATATTTCAAAATACATTGTACTATCCTTTAGTATTGGTTAGTGTTGCTTAAACACATTTCTTTTATCATTGCTGATTTTTGTTTGTTAGCAAAATGACTTTTCTTGTACTTTATTGCGGAGTTTTTCCAGTTTTCTCATGTAGTCCCTTTCTGTCATGTCTCACTCAGGAAGTGACGACGTTTTCACCATAAACAGCACAAGTGGATGTGTCACTCTACTTACTTATCCTATTTACCTTAATAAAGAATTTTTTGAGCTGAAAATAAAGGTAGGTCTATGCTGATGAACATCATTATACGATGCTCGGTCTATGCTGATGAACATCATTATACGATGCTCTTTCAAACATTGACTTGCTGCTGATGTTATCTCGGGTCAGACACTGCGGAAACAATTAATTTTAATGCTGATTTAATATATGCAGATGCAGATATGAGTCAGGTGGTCATCGGTAAATAACAAAATTAAATATGCATACTGAATATGCAGCATGTTGACATTGTGTTGATACCCAACTTGAACAGTAATACATGCAGAAGAATAATTACAGTTTCGATATTTCTGGGAACATTTAGGCAATGTTGCCCCTTTAAAAACAATTTTAATAAACCATTGCATGTATTTAGGCTGAATTCCTTTAATAACATGTTTTTTGACTGCTTTGTATAAATTGAAAAAAAAAGAAAACATTAAAACAACAAAATTATAGTTGTTCAACATAAGGGGAGCTACGTTATGGTTGGTTATATAGAGTAGGGCTCCATTAGAGATGGTTAGAACTGCAGAACAGTAGGTATTCTAGAACAGTGTATTACCCTGGCTAGGTTGTGGCCTCATATGTTTTGCCAAAATATCATTGTTAATGAATGACTGACATCAAGTGTACTCTGCAGGTGACTTTAGATCAGTTTTAGTACTCCATATGGCTGGATGCAGTGGTAATATGTTAGCGTGTTGTAGTACTCCATATGGCTGGATGCAGTGGTAATATGTTAGCGTGTTGTAGTACTCCATATGGCTGGATGCAGTGGTAATATGTTAG